CTACATCATATCTACAAAGTCCTACTGAATTATTAACATCGTATTCTAAAATATCGTTTGATAATATAACTGCATGTGAAATTTAAGTAGGCCATAAAAATTTATATTTGATTAGGATTAAAATTAGGTTTTATTTTAGTAATATCTATTAAGAATCGAGGCTGAATCTAAACAAAAACAAGACAATTCAGCTTTCTAAATAGCATCTCATCTTTTGAATCTAAACAAAAACAAGACAATTCTGTTAGGTTAGTTGCCATTAATGTGCAACAACCATTGACTTAAATTAAGCATTGTAGGATTCCAAACCTTAAAAGTGTATTTGTTTTTGTAGATTTTCAATACCACACCTTCAATTTCCAATGGAAGAAACCACCATATCAACGATGACATAGAAGCTCTATTGTCTTTAATGATTGTAGACCTGGTCAAACAACACCGACTAGACTAAATCTTAGTGATAAAGAAATGCTTTGATAGGCTTAATCCCATGTCATTTTACCTCCCGATACATTCACCAAAGTTCATATGTTTTTTTAGTTTAGATGGTCTTCACATGTTGTGTTGTAAGAAAAGGAGAAAAAGAGCAGGGAATTCGATTCAATAGGAAAGGGAATAGGGTGTACACTGTGTACTGTGTAGGACTTTACTTCGAAATTAGAGTAGAAGATTTAAAGCTAATGGCACATGGTACATGAATGGACAATTTAAAACCACTAGCTTATACTTTCTTCTTCTACTTCTTGTTTTAATTTTATTAAAGGCCCATAAATGAACAGTTTGGAACTACTAGAACGGGACCAAGGTCAGTTTCAATTAAAATTATAGAAATTGTCTACCTTGTTTCCAAAATCAACTTCATTAGTACACAAACCTTGTGAAAGAAGGTTCGAGAAAGAATGATTAATCCACCCAACACTATTTATGAATGTCATTCATAGCCCCCCACTGGCACTCTCATAAGTGAAAATCACAGCATATAATTTATGGTAGAAGGGGCTAAGTTGATCATTGGGCTTGGACTTGAGGAAGAAGATCAGTGATTGTTGGAGTGCGGTCACGTCACGACAACGATAATGCTGAGCGGCGCTTGGATGGATAGTGACAGATCTAATGTGTGTGTACAAAAGCATTATAGTAAAAATGTTGTAGTGGTTTTAGTTTAAAATATATTAAAATAATATTTTTTTTATTTTTTAAAATTATTTTTAATATTATTA